ATCGTGTCTGACTTGTAAATTTTCAAAACAGAATTATGCATTTGGTTCGTTGGTTACTAATTTCAAGCTTTTTTGGTAATTCTCCGTACAAAACTGTAATCTTTTCAATCATTTTTTATGATATTGTAAAGGTATTTTGTATTGTGCTTTCGAGGCTTAACATAATATATTGTAAAACCAGTGGGGTGCACGAACATGAAACTTAATTTATAAGGGTGGGAATTGTGTACACTGTATTATAACCGAGATTATGTCTAGCAGGGTAATTTTAAACGTATATTAAAAAAAGTACATTTATGAACTTGCATTGTTAGTTAGTAGGAGAATGTGGACTAGCTTTCATTTTAAACATTGATTATTGGTTTATCATTTATGTTTGGGTTCTTTACTTTTCTTAGAAAAATAGTCTACTTTATCTTTTAGAGGTTGTTTTAGTTTAATTCTCTCTATAGATTCCAATAATTGTTAAGTAGTTAGTGAATTATTTAGTGAATTATGAAAAAATATTATTTTGTAGTCACTCAAAAAGAAGTGGTCGAAAGCTGTTCCGACAGAACTTCCCTCGCATTTTCAAGTTGAGTTTTTACTTTACACAACATTTTTGTAAGAAAATAGAGGGCGGGTGGGCATAGCTAGTATTTGTTAAAATAAGATTGATTTTGGTAAATGACTGAACAATATTAAGAGTAATCACTGGAATGAAGAGAGGGTGGGTGGGCGGGGCTATTGATTACTTATGAAAGATTCGTTAGGAAAAAGTTAATCATAGTTAATCAAAATAAAAAAAACGAAATAGTGAAAGTCGAAAAATGGAAAATTCCAAAATCTAAATATCGAAATTAAAAAATTCGAACATCGAAAATTAGAAAAATGGAAAAATCGAAAAAACAAAAAATAATCGAACTAGTGAAAAATTGAAACATCGACACATCGAAACATCAAAAGATCGAGAATTTGAGAAACACACGAACAACACAAAAATCTAAAATTAAAAAATCGAAAAATTTTAAATATTGAAAAAATTTAAAAGCAAAAAAATCGAAAAATCGAAACATTAAAGAAACGAGTTGAAAATTGAGAAATCGAAAAGTAAAAAAAAATTGAAAGTCTAAAAACTGAGAAATGTAAATATTGAAAAATCAAAAAATCGAAAAATCAAAACAGGAAAAATAGAATTATCAAAATTTGAGTACCGAAAATCGAAAACTCGAGAAATAAAAAAATCGAAGAGTCAAATAATCGAGAAATCCAAAAACTGAAGAATTTTAAATCGAAAAGTATAAAATTGAAAATTCCAAAATTGAAAATTCTAAAAACTGAAGAATTGAAACATTGAGAAATCGAGGAGGCAAACTGAACATTTTTTGAATATCGAAAAAACGAAAGTCCGAGAAATCCGAATAAAGCCGAAAATTCGAAAATCTAAAAATCGAAAAGTCCAAAAATCAAAATAAAGAAAAAACGAAGTAGTGAAATTAAAAAATTCGAACATCGAAAATTTGAAAAATGGAAAAATCGAAAAGCTGAAAAGTAGAAAAATCGAAACATCAAACGATCGGGAATTCGAGAAATAGACAACCCAAAAAATCTAAAATTAAAATATGGAAAAACTGAAAAATCCACGAATGGGAAAATTCCCAAAATTGAAGTGTTGAAAAATCGACAAATCGAAAAATTTTAAACATTGAAAAATCGAGAAGTCGAAAAATCAAAAAATTGAAAAATCAAAAATGAAAAAGTAGAATGATTGAAAATTTGAATATCAAACATCGAAAACTCGAGAAACCAAAAAATCGAAAATTCAAATAATCGAGAAATCGAAAAACTGAAGAATGGAAAAATTGAAAATCGAAAAGTATAATAATTCAAAATTCCAATACCGAAAGTTCTAAAATAAAAAGTAAAAAAATTGAAAACTCTAAAAACTGAAGAATGGAAAAATTAAAAATTGGGAATTCAAAAAATCAAAAATCGAAAAGGATACAAATAGAAAATTTTCGAATATCGAATAAACGAAGCTCCAAGAAATCGGAAGAAAACCGAAATTTCGAAAATCTGAAAACCGAAAATCGAAAAATCCAAGAATTAAAAAAAAACAAAATATCGAAAAATGGAAAATTCGAACATCGAAAATTTCAAAAATGGAAAAACCAAAAAGCCGAAAATTCGAAAAAACAAGAAATGGAAATACTGAAAAATTGAAACATCCAAAAATCGAAACATCAAAAGATCGAGATTTCGAGAATTAGACAAACCAAAAAATCTAAAATTAAAATATCGAAAAACTGAAAAATCCACGAATGGAAAAATGCGCAAAATTGAAGTGTTGAAAAATCGAGGATTAAAAAAATGGACAAATCAAAAATGGAAAAGTGGAATGATTGAAATTTTGAGTATCAAACATTGAAAACTCGAGAAACTAAAAAATCGAAAAGTCAAATAATCCAGAAATCTAAAAACTGAAGAATGGAAAAATTGAAAATTGAAAAGTTTGCACAAAAATAAAAATTCCAATACTGACAATTCTAAAAAGTAAAAAAAAATTAAACTGTAAAAACTGAAGATAGTGCAAAAGGAAAAATTGGAAATTCAAAAAATTAAAAATCGAAAGTCCGATATTTCGGAAGAAAACCGAAAATTCGAAAATCTAAAAAACGAAAATTCAAAAATTCAAGAACCAAAATAAAGAAAAAACGAAATATCGAAAAATCGAAAAATCCAAAATTAAAAATCGAAATTAAAAAATTCGAACATCGAAAATTTGAAAAATGGAAAAATCGAAAAGCCGCAAATTTAAAAAATCGAAAAAAACAAGAAATGGAAATATTGAAAAATTAAAACAACCAAAAATCGAAACATCAAAATATCAAAATTTCGAGAAATACACAAACAAAAAAATCTATAATTAAAATATCGAAAACTGAAAATCCACGAATGGAAAAATTCGCAAAATTGTGTTGAAAAATTTTAAACATTGAAGAATCTCTAGAAATCAAAAAATTGAAAAATCAAAAATGAAAAAGTAGGATGATTTAAAACTTGAGTATCAAACATCGAAAACTCAGAAACCAAAATATCGAAAAGTCAAATAATCGAGAAATCGAAAAACTGAAGAATGAAAAAATTTAAAAACCGGAAATTAAAAAAATCAAAAATCGAAAATTCGCAAATTTGAAAATTCGAGAAATCGGAAGAAAACCCAAAATTGGAAAAACTAAAAATCGAAAATCGAAAAACCTAAGAACCAAAACAAAAAAAACGAACTATCGAATGTCGAAAAGTGGAAAATTCCAAAATCTAAAAATCAAAATTAAAAAATTCGAACATCGAAGATTTGAAAAATGGAAAAATCAAAAAGCCGAAAAATTGAAAAAACAAGAAATGGAAATATTGAAAAATTCAAACATCGAAAAATCAAAACATCAAAAGATCGAGAATTCGAGAAATAGACAATCCAAAAAATCTAAAATTAAACTATCGAAAAACTGAAAAATCCATGAATGGAAAAATTCCCAAAATTGAAGTGTTGAAAAATCGAGGACTCAAAAACTTGAAAAATCGACAAATCGAAAAATTTTAAACAGAAAGTGCAGAAATAAAAAAATTGAAAAATCAAAAATGAAAAAATAAAATGATTGAAAATTTGAGTATCAAACATCGAAAACTCGAGAAACCAAAAAATCGAAAAGTCAAATAATTCCAAAATTCCAATATTGAAAATTAAAAAAAGTAAAACAACTGAAGACTCTAAAAACTGAAGCATGGAACAATTGAAAAATCGGAAATTCGAAAAATCAAAAATCGAGAATTCGAGAAATCGAAAAGGAGACAAATTAAAAATTTTCGAATATCGAAAAAAACAGAAATCCAAGAAATCGGGAAAAAACGAAAATTCCAAAATCTAAAAATCGAAATTAAGAAATTCGAACGTCGAAAATTAGAAAAATGAAAAAATCAAAAAGCCTAAAAATTGAAAAACAAGAAATCGAGATACTGAAAAATTGAAACATCGAAAAATCGAAACAGCAAAAGATCAAGAATTCGAGAAAAAGATAACTCATAAAATCTAAAATTAAAATATCGAAAAACTGAAAAATCTACGAATTCCAAAATTTCCAAAATTTGAGTGTGGAAAAATTGAGAAATCAAAAACTTGAAAAATCGACAAATCGAAAAATTTTAAACATCGAGCGGTCGAGAAATAGAAAAATCGAAAAATGTAATATTTAAATAAATTAACTCAATCATGAATTTTTTTGAGACACCCCCTATAAGTTAATCTAACAAATGCAGTCAAAGCATTCGGTTTTGCGGATTCAAGATTAAATTGCAAAATGTTGTTTTATAATTTAATTTTTTTCCAAAAATCCGGACGTTTCGGGTAAAAACTGCATAGCGTCATAAACTACATGTGTAGGACTATGTTAATTTATACAATTTAAAACCCATTTACTACGTGCAATTTTGAGGTGACGTCATCACATTATTGGTGGGGATGAGTAGGCAAAATTTGACAACAATAGGCTCAGTAGTTTCGGAGATTATCTATCTATTAAAAATCCGGACAGACGGCAGACAGACGTCGACCCTGGATGTGTGAAGCAGAAATTCCACCATTGAGCTACGTCAGTGTAACGTATTAAACAACAAACAAATATAGTAATAATAAACAAAATTAAGATAAGATTCGCAAAACACAACTACAGGAGTACCCCACAAGTACAGAAGTACCTATATTATTTCACACAAATCGGTTAATATTAATTATGCAATATAATGAGCGAAGGTCATCAAATTGTTGGTGGGAGTGATTAGCCAAATTTTGATTACGTTTTATCATCTACATGATATTCCTAACATACATACAAAATTTGACAACAATCGGACCAGTACTTTCGAAGATTATCGGTCTAATATAAATCCAGACAGATAGACAGACAGACAGATGGAAAAGGTAGACCTATTTAAAAACATAAGAGTAAGGAATAACTAGTACACACTTGTTTCTTAAGTTGGTGGACTTCCTGATGGGCGCGTTCTCGCTCTTCCACTTCATTTAGAAGTCGGGCTTGTAACTCCTTCTCTTCGGCTTGCTGCTGGGTGCCGGCCGCTTGAGATCTCTGGAGCTCTTCGTAGATGGACTGCGCCTTATGTTCCGACTGCAACTGCTCCTTCTCCAAGTCTCTTATCTGGTTCTGGAGCCTGTTCTTCTCATTCTCGATGGAAAGTTTGATATCTTCTAGATCTACAACACACCGGTTTAGTAAAATATTTAGCAATACCCGATTCTGCTTACTCGTAATCTTCTGGAACGTTTCTTCCAGCTGTCTACTCTGCTCTCTTTTTTCTCCCTCGATTTTCTTTACGTGGTCTCTCAGCTCCTTATTCGTGTTGTGATACTTCTCTTTTTCGAAGTTGCTATCCGCCAGGAGTCTCCTAATATCGGTGATTTCCTTCCTGAGACTCTCCGAGTTATTCTCAGCTAAAACGACACGTTCACATTCCATTCAAGCACTATTCAAACACTCAGTCAATACCTTCTTTGAGCTTCCTGATCGTTTCGTGGAGTTGGTTGTTGATACTTTCACTCTTGTCTTCGCTCAGATGTAGTTGAACTTTCAAGTTCTCGACTTCCGTCTGCAGTCCGTCTCTTTCCACTTTGATCTCTTCGATCCTCTGGTCCAACTTCACCTTCTCCTCCTCGGCACGCGTCCTGCTCTCCTCCAACCTCGTCCTGTACTTGCCTAGTTCTTCCTTCAACTGGTTGATGTTCGAGCGGTCCTTCTCGAAGCGACCATTCGCCTCCCTTTTCAACCTCTCTAATGCCTCTCTTTCATTGTTCAGCTCCCTTCGCGCATCCTCCAGGCGATCTTGCAACGCTTGTTGATCATGATGCGCTTTCGTGCAAACAACATTTGTTTAAATACCGGCGATGTTTGTGGATTTAATTTAACATTTTCTTTGTCAATTTTTAACGAGGATCTGGCGAGTAAATATGTACCAGTTCGAAATGATAAAAATGTATTATTTATGCGACGGTAATTTTAGAAACAAGTCATTTCCCAAAACGACAGGATGATATCATGCTAATGGTGCTATTTTAATCAATGAAATCAGCACGTGATTTAGACTATTCTTTAAAAATAAGTTTCACTCCGATCGAAATCGATCGAACGGGAGCCGAGAGGTATTTCAAATTCGCAAACGACGTTCGTAAAAATGCCGAAAATGCGAATGCGAGCGGCTTATTCGGATTTCTAGTGTCGCTCATTTAAATAACGAGTTCCGAGCGACGACAACGTGATAAAAGGAAAATATAACTTAATTGGCCCGTGGCCATTTATTCAAACGCTTAGCGCAAATCGCCAAAACCGCGTTTCTGAATTAAATTTGCATTTTAGCGCATGGAAACACAAACAGTGAAAGTGCTACGTTTCAATGCGACCTCGGAGGACAAATCGAAGCGCATCGGTAAAACCACGCAAAAACTGGACGCAGTCCAAAAAATTGGTGGAATGTTATTGCGATAGAACTTCCCTCACCCCGGAAGTGCAGACCAACAAACCCGCTTCTTTAAAAAAATATAAAAATTGTTTCTTTGTAAAGTACGTAAATAACACTCGCACAATCTTTTTGACTTGAATTTTTCAATTCTTTAATTTTTCATTTTTTTGTTTCTTCAGTTTTTCGAGTGGCTCTTTAACGTTTAATTTTTTTCAGTTTTTCAATTTTCCAACTTTCCAATTTTTCGATTCTTTAATTTTTTATTTTAGTCTTGTCGATCCCTCTACAAAATTTTGTAACATACGTTTAAAAAATTGCGATTTTTTTGTGAACTCTTCCAATGCCAAAAAATGTCAAGAAAATTGGAATAATGTGGCAATGTCCCATCCAAATTTCAAAAATAGATTGTCATTATAACTTAGGCTAATAAGAATATGTAAAAAAAACCTAGGGTTAGATATTGACTCTGTATAGTTAAAAATAATTTCAGAGTATAGTCCTCAAAAAATCGTAGAACCTTCTTTGACTTTTTTCTATCTCTAATAATGATTAATGAGATATCGAGGACAGCACGTTTGGTGTCTCACTCTGTATATTTATCTCCAAACTATATTCCACAATGTTCCTATTCTTTTATTCACAATAACTTTCAATTTTTAGATTTTACAATATTTCGTATTGAGTTTCTCGAGTTTTCAATTTTTTTATTTTTGAATTTTTCGATTCTTTCTTTAATTTTTCATTTCTTAAAATTTCAGACTTGGAATTTTTCATGTCTGTTTTTTAGTTTCTTTATTTTTCCAATTTTAATTTTTTCAGTTTTTCGTTTCTTCAATTCTTTTTAATAAATTAAATTTGTTTTTTTGGTTTGTGTTAACTTGAATTTTTTTCTATGATTTCATTTGGTTTATTCTGGGTTAATAAAGTTTTTATCAGTATGCATTGTCAGCTAACCTTTTGTATTTTTGTGCAATAAATTCTATCTGTCTTATCTTTTTTCAATTTTTCGATTTGCACTTTTACAGTTTTTATTTATTTTATTTCTTCAATTTTACAACTTCGAGTTTTCATTTTAAAATTTTTCAGTTTTTCGATTTTCCAACTTTTGGATGTTTCAATTTTTAGATTTTGCAGCTGTTCGATTTGCAATTTCACCAGTCTTCAGTTTTTGATATTTTGATTGTTAGATTTTTCAATTTTTCATTTCTTCAAAGCAATTTTTAGCCACGGTATTTTTTCTTTATTTTTTCAATTTTTCGGTTTTTCAATGTTCTGTTTTTATAATTTTTCTTTCCTTCAATGTGAAATTTTAAAATTTTTCGATTTTTCAAGCTTTCGATTTTTTAATTTTTGATTTTTCAATCTTTCGTTTCTTTCATTTTTGATTTTCGGTATTTCCAGTTTTCAATTTAAATATGTATCTGACAATAATTATAATTTTTCGATTTTTAATTTTTTAATTTTTCCACATTTTTGGATGTTTCAAATTTTAGATTTTGCAATTTTTTGATTTGCAATTTCACGGGTTTTCATTTTTTGATTTTTCAATTTTTCGATTTGCAGTTTTTAGTTTCGTTTTTTTTTGTTATTTTTTCAATGTTAGGTTTTTATAATTTTTCTTTTCTTCAATGTGAAATTTTTTAATTTTTCGATTTTTCAAGTTTTAGATTTTTTAATTTCTCGATTTTTCAATCTTTCATTTCTTCCATTTTTGATTTGCAGGGTTCCAGTTTTCCATTTAAATATGTATCTAATACTAATTATAATTTTGAAAATTTTTACTTTTAGGATTTTAGCATTTTTGGATTTTTCAATTTTTCGATTTTTAATTTTTTAATTTTTCCCTATTTTTGGATATTTGAAATTTTAGATTTTGCAATTTTCTGATTTGCAATTTTTCGTGTCTTCAATTTTTCGATTTGCAGTTTTTCGTTTTTTCAATTTTTAGTTTTTTCAATGTTGTGTTTTTATAATTTTTCTTTTTTCAATGCGAAATTTTAAATTTTTGGATTTTTCAGCTCTTAGATTTTTTAATTTCTTGATTTTTCAATTTTTCATTTCTTTCATTTTTCGAATTTTAATTTTTCCCAATTTTGAATATTTCAGTTTTTAGATTTTGCAATTTTCTGATTTGCAATTTCACGAGTTTTCATTTTTTAATTATTCAGTTTTTCAATTTCTCAATTTTACATGTTTTCAATTTTTCGATTTGCAGTTTTTCGTTTCGTTTTTTTTGTTATTTTTTCAAAATTTCAGTTTTTCAATGGTCTGATTTTATAATCTTTTTTTCCATGTAAAAATTTTAAATTTTTGGATTTTTAAATTTTTCGATATTTCAAATCATAGATTTTTTAATATGTCGTTTTTTTTAAATTTAGATTTATCAGTTTCTTGATTTTTCAATTTTTCGTTTATTCAATTTTTGACTTTTTCAATTATATGATTTTAAAATTTTCCCATTTTCCAATTATCGGATTTTAAAACTTTTTCATTTTTTTTCGATTTTTAAGTTTTTCAATTTTTCGTTTCCTCAGTTCTTTGAATTGCAATTTTTCATTTTTGCACGTTTTCGATTTAAGTTATGTCCGATTTTTGAGTTTTTCGTTTTTTCAACTTTTCGAATAAAAAGAATGGAAAAATTGCAAAATTGTAAAATTCAAAATCAAAAATGAAAAAATGAAAAAAGTATAAAATGAAAAATTGAAACATTAAAAATTGAGAAACTTGCAAATCGAAAAAGTGTAAAATCGAGAAAACGAAATATATATTGTAAAATAGAAATTTTGAAAATCAAAGAAATGGGAATCCAAAAATTGCAAAATTGAAAAATTTCAAAATTGAATAAACGAAAAATTATAAAATCTTTGAAGAAGCATTAAAAAAATAAAGGAAATGATAAAACGAAAAACTGTGATAGAAATTAAAAAATAAAAAAAAATTGAAAAAATGAAAAATTGTAAAATTGGAGATTTGCAAATCGAAAAATTGAAGAAACGAAAAAATCAAAAATTTGGAAGAAATCCAAAAATTGAAAAAACGAAAAATTATGAAACCGAAAAATTGAAAATGGAAAAATTGAAAAATTAAAGAAAATAAAAAAATGAATTTTAAAGTAAAAATAAACGATAAACGTAACGTCAAGGTTTCTCGATTTTTAGTATCTCAATGTTTCAATTTTTCGTTTCCTCATCTTTGATTTGCAATTTTCCAATTTTTCACTTTTTCGGTTATACAATTTTTCATTTTTGCACTTTTCAAATAAAAAAAATGGAAAAATCGAAATTGTAAAATTGAAAAACCGAAAATGAAAAAACGAAAAAGTATAAAATGAAAAATTTGAAAAATCTAAAAATTGGCAATCAAAAACTTGAATCATTGAAGAAATGAAAAATCGAAAGATTAAAAATTGAGAAACTTTCAAATCAAAAAAGTGCAAAATCGAGAATCCAAAAATTGGAAAATTGAATAAACGAAAAATTATAAAATCGATGAATAAGCATTGAAAAAATAAAGGACATGAAAAAACGAAAAATTGATATAAAATCGAGAAAATAAAAATTAAAAAATTGGGAAAATGAAAAATAAAAATAAAGAACTTGAAAAATTAAAAAATGAAAAATTGAAAAATTGATTAGATTTGTAAATCGAAAAATTAAAGAAACGAAAAAATGAAAAATTTGGAAGACGAGATATCCAAAAATTGAAAAAACGAAAAATTATGAAACCGAAACGTTGAAAAATGGAAAAATTGCATAATTAAAGAAAACGAAAAAAAAGAAAAATTGTGATATAAAAAACAGATTTTTCTAAAAATTATAAGATTTGATTTTACCAATTTTAAGTCAAAGATATGTACGTAATGTCAAGGTTTCTCGATTTTTAGTATCTCATTGTTTCCATTTTTCGTTTCCTCATCTTTGATTTCCAATTTTCCGATTTTTCACTTTTTCGATTTTACATTTTGTCATTTTTCGATTTAAGTTTTTTACAATTTTTGAGTTTTTTGATTTTTCAACTTTTCAAATAAAAAAAAAAAATGAAAAAATTGCGAAATTATGAAACTGAAAAACCAAAAATGAAAAAACGAAAAAGTATTATAAAATGAAAAATTTGAAAAATCTCAAAATTGGCAATCAAGAACTTCAAACACTGAAAAAATGAAAAATCGAAAGATTAAAAACTGAGAAACTTTCACATCAAAAAAGTGCAAAATCGAGAAAACGAAATATATATATTGTAAAACAAAAATTTTGAAAATTAAAGAAATCGGAAAGTCGGACAACTGGGAATCCAAAAATTGCAAAATTGAAAAATTAAAAAATTTGATAATCGGGGATTTTATAAAACAGATTGAAAATTAGAAAAATTGAATAAACGAAAAATTATAAAATCCATGCAGAAGCGTTGAAAAAATAAGGACATGAAAAAACGAAAAACTGATATAAAATCGAGAAAATAAAATTTAAAAAATTGGGAAAATTAAAAAATGAAAAATTGCAAAGATTTGCGAATCGAAAAATTAAAGAAACCAAAAAATGAAAAATTTGGAAGACGGGAAATCCAAAAATTGAAAAAACGGAAAATTATGAAATGAAAAAAAAAACAGATTTTTCGAAAAATTATAAGATTTGATTTTACGAATTTTAAGAGAGAGGAGATTACGTGTCTAATAAAAATGGATATAGACAGATAGACAAACAGACGGAAACGGAAGTCCACTTTTTTCGTCCTCTAGAGGTCATGAAACTCGAGAAAACATGGAAGTGGCTAGTAGCTTTCGCTCAGGAAGTAAAAAAAAGCGCAAACCGAATCAAAATGGCATTTAATTAATGACCAAGTTTAAGTCCCTCACTTTTCGCAGTTTTCATCAACGATTAACCGAACTCATTTATATTGTGTGACGTTTTAAATCAAATGCCTCTGACTGGTTTCTGAGAGTGAAAGAGTTATACTACAACAAGTATTGACGTACTTATTAACGTTTAAAGCAGCAGAAATTTTAGTTTCTACGTTGGCGACTTTCACACACACTTGACTTACGTATAACTGTTTCAGTTGCATCAGTAAATAATAAAAGCAAAATAAATCATCTAGAAACAGAAAAGATCAAGAACCAAACAAGACGTTGTCTACTGTTTTACCGATCAAGAGCGCTTTCTGTTTATCGTTTTCGGCCCTCAACATCAGCTCTTCGTGCTGTTGCACCATGTTGTCGATGTGGTTTTGCAGCGACTCAATCCTGTCGATCAACTGCTGAATCTCGGCATCTTTTTCATGCGTCAATTGCTGTAAAGACTGCTGCAGACGCTTCTCCAATGTCGTCCTAATTTTTTCCCTTTCTTCTGTCAATTTCTTGATATTGTCTTCATTTTGTGACTTCAATTTCTCTATAGTTTGTTTAAATTCCATCTCCTTGTTGCCACTCTGTTGCAGCAAACTATTTTTAACCTCAATGCACCTCTTCTCCGACCTTTCTAGATCTTTAGTCAGGCGAGCAATTTGCGCCTTGAGTTGCTCTTGTTTAACCAAAAGTTCTTGTTGTTCGCTCTCCAGCTGGAATTTCTTGGCTTCTGAAGCTTCCAGGTTCGTCTGTGTGTCGAAAAGCACAGCTTCCAAAGCTTCTTTCTCGGAACGCACTGCGGCGAGTTGTTCCTGGAGGCGCTGCATGTCTTTGTCCAAGGCGTCCAAAGCGCATTGTTTTTCTTCGCATTCTTTCACCAGGTCTTCTAGGTTTCTGTTAACGCGGGCGTTGGTTTCGTTGGCTTGTTCTAGTTTCTGGCGGGTTCTGATTAGTTCGTCGTTTAGGGCGTCTCTTTTGCGCCCCAGAACGGTCAACTGGTTGCTGAGGTCGTTTCTTTCTCGCGTTACTTGGTTGAGTTCCATTTCGATCTGGAAATTGTGGGTTTAGTACAGTCGGTTCGGGATTTTGGGTACACAGATTTTTTTTTAGGTTCTGTAAAGGGACCAAGTGTGAGTCTAAAAATGAGTATTCGGAACTGGCCTTCTTGACTCTGACAAAAATTTTGGGAATTTTTGCAATTAATAATAATAATAATAAACCATTAATAAAAAAATTAAGAAAAACTACAACAATGAACTATTTTTTAAGTTTCACATACATATTTTTTAATACGGGAAAGTTCAGAAAGTGTTTTTTTTTGGATTATGGGAATGTTGTAATAATAAAAGTTTCAACATTTTCGAATATGTACATACATATAGCTTTCAAATTACCTCTAATCTTGAAGTTTGTGAAATTTTCATCTTTATTCTAAGGTAATCTATAGATATTGAATATGTATAATGTTAAGCTTATTCTGGTTCTCTTTTTTTCGATAACTGCTGTATGCATTTTTTTTACTTAGAAAAAAAAAGATTTTCAAACCGAATATTTCTAAAATCTTGCCCCAGGATTACAAACCCGCTACATTTTTCGAATCAGCACGTCGAAATATATATTCCCGAATTTTTTAGGAATTTATGATAATTTTTGAAAAGCAATTTTTCAAAATTTTGGCAAATTTTCGACTTTTTTCAGAATTTAACTCAAGACATTCTCTTATAGTTTTCGATCTCCAGGGGTTGGTTTCAGCCTCGTTTTTTTCGATAACTCCTACCATTTTTGCATTGCATTTTTTTTATATAAAAAAACCATTTTCAAACAAATTATTTCAAATATTTTCCCCCGAGACCATACATACGCTATATTTTTGGAATCAGGAATCAGCACGTTTAATTCTATACCTGATTTTTTAAAGAATATATTGGTAACTTTCAGAAAAGCAAAATTTTTCAAAATTTCGGCCAAATTTTGACCTTTTTCGAAAATCCACTAAATAAATTTTCTTTTAGATTTCGACCTCCAGAAGTCGGATTCGGCATGATTTTTTTCAATGCCTCGTATGACTTCTAGAATCGCCCTCTGAAATACTACAGTTTTTTTTTATTCATAAAGAAAAATGATTTCCAAACCGAATATTTCTAAAATCTTGCCCCAGGACCACAAACCTGCTTATTTTTTGAATCAGCACGTCGAAATGTACTTATATTCCCGATTTTTTTTGACAATTTTTGAAATGCAATTTTTCAAAATTTTGGCAAATTTTCAACCTTTTTCAAAACTTAATTCAAGATATTTTCTTCTAAATTTCAATCTCCAGGGGTTGGTTTCGGCCTTATTTTTTTCGATAACTCCTACCATATTTGCATTACTTTTTTTTTTAATAAAAAAAGTTTTTCAAAACAAATATTTCTAAAATTTTGCCCCGAGACCATAAATACGCTACATTTTTGGAATCAGGAATCAGCATGTTTAATTCTATACCTCCGAATTTTTTAGGAATTTATTGGTAATTTTTATAAAAGCAACATTTTTAAAAATTTTGGCCACTTTAGACTTTTTTCTAAAATTAACTAAATAAATTTTGTTTTAAATTTCGACTATAACTTTTCTAGAATCGCCCACTAAAATAGTGCATGTTTTTTATTATTTATAAAAAAGAAATGATATTCAAACCGAGTATTTCTAAAATCTTGCCTAAGGACCACAAACCCGCTTATTTTTCGAATCAGCACGTCGAAATATATATTCCCCAATTTTTTAGGAATTTTTTGACGATTTTTGAAAAGCAATTTTTCAAAATTTTGGCAAATTTTCGACCTTTTTCAGAACTTAACTGAAGACATTTTGTTATAAATTTCGGTCTCTAAGGGTTGGCTTCAGCCTCATGTTTTCGATAACTATTACCATTTTTGCAATACATTTTTTACATAAAAAAAAAATTTCAAACAAATATTTCTAAAATTTTGTTCCGAGGTCATAAATACGCTATATTTTTGGAATCGGCACGTCGAAATCTACATCGCTGAATTTCTTCAGAATTTGAAAAGAAAAAATTTTCAATTTTTGACTTTTTTCGAAAATTAACTGAAGAAATTTTCCTATACATTTCGACCTACAGAAGTTCATTCTCAAATCTTTCCCTGGAACAATAACCACGCTATATTTTAGAATCAGTGCCTTGAAATCTATATACCCGAATTTTTTCGCAAATTTTTCAAAAACAAAATTTTTGAGTCCCTTCCCCATAAAAATTTTAACTAATTTTCGACCTTTTTTGGCACTTAACTAAAGACATTTTCTTATATATTTCAACTTCTAGAACTCGTCTGTGGACTCATTTTTTCGATAGCTCCTACCATTTTTTCAGAATCGTCCATTCAAATATTGCAATTTTTTGTAATTTAAAAAAAAAAAAAAATCAAACCAAATATTTTTTAAATCTTGTCCCGAAGCAATTAAAAATATAATATTTTTAGGATCAGGATGTCGAAAAGCTAATTCCCTGATTTTTAGTAATTTTGTGTCAAATTTTTCAAAAGTACGTATTTCAAAATTTTGGCCAATTTTTGATCTCTTTCGAAAATTAACTAAAGAAATTTTCTTATAAATTTCGACTTTTCAGAAGTTAGTTTCGGCCTCATTTTTTCGATGATACCTATAATTTTTCCAGAATCGCCCATTGAAAAATTGCAATTTTTGAAAATAAAGAAAAAAGATTCTCACACCGAATATTTCTAAAATCTTTCCTCGGGACTACAAACACTGTATATTTTAGACTCAGGGCCTCGAAATCTATATCCCCGAATTTTTCGCAAATTTTCCAAAAACAAAATTTTTGAGTCATTTTCGCCCTTTTTTGAAACTTAACCAACGACATTCTCTTATAGATTTCAACTTCTAGAAATCGTCTCCGGCCTCATTTTTTCGATAATTCCTACCATTTTTTCAGAATCGCCCATTCAAATATTCCAATTTTTTGTAATTTAAAAAAAAAAAAAAGATTTTCAAAACAAATATTTTTGAAATCTTACACCGAGACAATTAAAACTACGTTTTTGGGATCAGGATGTTGAAAGCTACTTCTCTGATTTTTTAGTGAATTTTTTGTAAAATTTTTCAAAAGTAAGTTTTTCAAAATTTTGGCCAATTTTTGATCTCTTTCCAAAAAATTAACTACAGACATTTTCTTATAAATTTCGACTTTTCAGAAGTTGGTTTCGGCCTCATTTTTTCGATGATATCTATAATTTTTCCAGAATCGCCCATTAAAAAATTGCAATTTTTGAAAATAAAAAAAAGACTCTCACACCGTATATTTCTAAAATCTTTCCCTGGGTGTATAATAAATACTCTACTTTAGAATCAGCGCCTCGACATCTATATCTCAGAATTTTTCGATAACTTTTTCAAAAGCACAATTTTTCAATGAAAATTTCGGCTAATTTTTGACCATTTTCGAAAATTAACTGAAGAAATTTTCTTAAGTTTTCGACCTACAGAAGTTGATTCTCAAGCCGAATATTTCTAAAATCTTTCCCAGGAACAATAACCACGCTATATTTTAGAATTTTTGAGTCCCCACCCCATGAAAATTTTGACTAATTTTTGACCTTTTTCGAAACTTAACTAAAGACATTTTCTTATATATTTCAACCTCTAGAAGTTGTCTCTGGCCTCATTTTCTCGAAAACTCCTACCATTTTTCCAGAGTCGCCCATTAAAAAAAAAAAAAGATTTTCAAACTAAATATTTTTGAAATCTTGTCCCGTGATATTAAAAACTAGATTTTTGGGATCAGCATGTCTTTGCTATATCCCTGATTTTTTAGTAATTTTTTTGGCAAATTTTTCAGAAGTAAGTTTCTTAAAATTTTGGCCAATTTTTTATCTTTTTCGAAAATTAACTAAAAAATTTTCTTGTAGATTTCGACTTTTCAGAAGTTGGTTTCGGCCTCATTTTTTTCCATGATTCCTATAATTTTTCCAGAGTCGCCCATTGAAATATTGCAATTTTTGAAAAAAAAAAAAAAAAAAATTTCACACCGAATATTTCTAAAATCTTTCCTCGAATCTATAAACACTCTATAGTTTGGAATCAGCGCCTTGAAATCTACATCCCAGAATTTTTCGGTAACTTTTTTAAAAACAAAATTTTTCATTGAAAATTTCGGCCAGTTTTCGACCATTTTCAAAACTTAGCCAAAGATATTTTCTTATAATTTCGACCTCCAGAAGTTAGTTTCAGTCTCACTTCTTGGATAACTCTTACTTTTTTTTTCAGAATCGCCCATTCAATTATTGCAGTTTTTCGGGTTTTTGAAAAAATTCATTTTCAAACAATATTTTTAAAACCTTGCCCCGGGATCTAAACATTCTATATTTTTGGAATCGGCACGTCGATATATACATCCCTGAATTTTTTAAGAGTTTGACAACTTTTTGAAAACCAAAATTTTTCAAAATGTTGGCGAATTTTTACCTTTTTCGAATATTAACTCAAGAAATTTTCTTATAGATTTCAACCTATAGAAATTTATTATCAAACCGAATATTTCTAAAATGTTTCCCCGGAACAATAACCATGCTATATTTTACAATTTTTAAGTCTCCGACCCATGAAAATTTTGGCTAATTTTCGACCTTTTTTGAAACTTAACTAAAGACATTTTCTTATATATTTCAACCTCTAGAAGTTGTCTCCGGTCTCATTTTTTTGGTAAGTCCTACCTTTTTTCCAGAATCGCCCATTCCAATATTGCAATTTTTTGCGATTTAAAAAAATGATTTTAAAACCAAATATTTTTTTCCCGTGACAATAAAAAATATATTTTTGGGATCAGCATGTCGAAAGCTATATCCCTGATTTTTTAGTATTTTTTGGCAAACTTTTCAAAAATAAAAGTTCTTCAAAATTGTTGCAATTTTTTTCAGAATCGTCCATCGAAATATTGCGATTTTTGGATATTAAAAAAAATATTCTCAAGCGGAATATTTGTAAAATTTTTCCCCGGGTCTATATAGACTCTACATTTTAGAATCAGCGCCTCGACATCTATATTGCAGATTTTTTTTTAAGCAAAATTTTTCAATTCTCCGCCATGAAAATTTTGGACAATTTTCGACCTTTTTCAAAATATTTCATTAATTTAATTTGTAAAATCTTACTCGAGGAACATAAATACGCCAGATTTTTGGAATTAAAATTTTTTGGGAATTTTTTCACAAATTTTTCAAAAACAAAAATAAAAATTTCGACCAATTTTCAAGCATTTTTGAAACTTTACTAACATAGATTTTGAACTCCAGAAGTTAATTTCGTTTTTCATGGAATATCTGTAAATTTTTACATACTCGGATTAGCGTTTTCTTAGGCTTTAAAACCAATTTATGTTTGAAATCGTGTTGTTTTCTTGAATTTTTTGTTATAATGCAAATTTAATATTCATAAAAAAAAATTCAATAGGTCAATAGGGTTATTTTTACCATCTGTGTTGCAATATTTTACAGACAGATAAATAAAGTTTGCTTTTTATTAAAATTCAATAGTAACATACAAAGTGTTCAGAAAAAAAGTAAAATATAATTTTCAAATAGTCATAATTCAAATTCACCGAGGAACAGTCAAAAAATACGATCAAAGGCAGCCATGGAGTTTTGAATTTTCGCCTTTTCACATTACTGTCAATTTGTAAATGTAACGATCAAAGACAAACTGTCAACAAGCCATAGCTACCTTTGACAGTGTTTTTATTGCTTCCTCGGTATATCAAAAATCCTGACTAACGGTATCAGTTTTGCTACTGCGAAAATCGTATGTTTAATTCAAATTGTTGACATTTTTATGACAAATGGACAAACAGGTACGTCAAGGTAAACACTTGATGTTAAGTTTTTAGTATCACACTATCTGTGTTAACTAATAAATAAAACATAAACAAAAACATGTTTCAATAATTTGGACCAAACACATGATTTTAGTAGGAGTAAAACTGATCCCGTTAGTTGAATTTTCTTACTTTCAGAAAAAAAGAGTTACGTCTCCTGAGATTCCTTATTCCCTACAATATTGGGCACAGTTATCAATAATTCTATGATTATTTTTTCGGGATTTTTCGGTATTTCGTGGTATTTTTTTACTATTTATAAATACAATCTCTAAAAATTCTTATCATAATTTTTTACGCTTCACTCATATTTTTTTTATTATTGATATTAAGTGGAAAAATTATTTATAAAATTTTATTACATTATCCACAAAAACGCCATGGACAAAATTTTTGGCAGACTTCAGTTATGGACACATGAAAAAATTAATTGTACCCTTAGTTTCAAGGTGACCCTCAACCAAAATACACGGTTGTCCGTTTTTTATCGCTGGATTGACAGGATTTGAATTTTCCAGTTACCTTTCCTTTGTCGATTTCCAAAAACTTGCACTTTTCCGAAAGCGACACCTTATCGGACTCCAAATCCAGTCTTTGTTGCTCCGCCTGGAGCAGCTCCTTCCGCAAAGACTGAATATCGTTTTGCTGATCATTGGACTGCATTTGCAAAGCCAGCTTTTCGTCTTCAAGCTAAAACAACCAATTAACACCCAACAAAATAACCCCCCTCAAACAACCTTCTTCAAATCGTCCAGAAGCTTCTTCTTATCACTTTCCAAATTCGCCGCTATATTCTCCTTCTTCATCAACGAATCGTGAACGTTGCTCCTCTCCCCCAGAATCCGCTCCAACTCCATCTCGTACTCGCCTTTCGACTTCTCCAAGCTACTAATCAAGTTCTCGGCTTCCGCCTTCTGTTGCTCAAGCATGTCGTGCGACAAATACAATTTGTGTAGATCTTCGCGCGTACTCAACAATTCCTCCCTGATCCTGCTACACCTCTCCTCTTCCCCGCGAAGATTGATCTCTCGAATGCTGGCTTCCTGGTTCAGGCGATCGATCTCCGTTTGCAGGAAAATCTTCTCGTCCTGCAAACCGTCGATCTCCTTCTGCAGTTTGTTGTTGTTCTTTTGGAGTTTGTCGTAGTCGGCGTTGAGCGACTCCACTAGGGAGTTGATTTCTACTCGGTGACGGTCTAGCGCGATCTTTTCGGTTTTTAGAGTGTCCAGGGACTTCTGGAGGAACTCTTTGTCTTGGGCGAGTTGTGAACACTGTGAGCGACTAGCATCTAGCTGTGCCACCAGTTCTTTAACCCGGTTTTCTAAACCAGCTACGTTTTCTTCGGAGTTATCGAACTGCTTGCGAACTAACAAAAGTTGCTCCCTATTTGATTGGAGCTTCACCTGGAGGCGCATTTTTAATTGTTTAATGTGTTGTGGGTAAGAAATGTGGCGTACTTACCTGTAGTTCATGTATCATGGACTGATACCTATGTAGAGCTGCTTGTACTGCAGATATGGTGCTCTCAGCAAAAGCTGCTGGGGAAGTCATACTACGCGCTAAGCCTCTTTTTGGCGATCTAAACATTTAACTCGGTTTCAAATTTTATTTATAAAGGGTGAAAGCATACTTCTGGGGCACAGGTGTGGAAGCACTGAGATGTACATGAGTGGTTGGAATCAGTTCTGGATCTTTTGTTTCGGCGTCTTGGATCAGAGCGTGAGCGATGTCACGCAAGGCCCCTTGGAGGATGTCGATTTCTTCTTGCATTTTCATTACTTGGGATACGTTGTGCTCGGCGTCGGCACATCTTTCTTCCTAAATAGAGAACAAAGAATCTACTGAGCTCGCAGAGTGTAAATTTCTGAAAAAGGTGATACATGAATCTTACCGAAATTATCTTGTCATTCCGCTTCTGTTTGTGTTAAAATTTAGATTTTTATATGCCAAAATTTCATAGTAAATCGAATTATTTCTTGAATTTTCATTATATTAAAACCGCTTTTTTGTATTTTTTTATCACGTCATATTTCAAAAACTATTCAAAATTTTGTCCTAGTTTTTAAACGGTACTGATACTTTTAAATTTACAAAAAAATATATCTTTATTATTTTAAATTATCAACATGGGATTTTTTTTATTATTAAATTATTTTAAAATGTCCAATAATAAAAAAAATCTCGAAGGTATGAAAATTTCAATCCACCTTTTGTGGAAGTAACAAAGAAATATTTTTTTGGTAGAAATTCAAAAACACTAGTACAGTAAAAATTAAAATTAGTATATTTGGTTATATCACAATTAAAAAACTAAGACACAATTTTGAATAGTGTTTAAAATATGACGTAATAAAAAACCAAAAAATGCAATTTTAAAATTATGACAATTCAAGAAAAAAATAACACGAATAAAAGAGGAATGACAGAAACTTTAAGATAATTTGTGTAAGATTCATGTATCAACTTCTTCATAAATAGGTAAATTTTTGGTAACTGACAGTACCACTACAAATTCTCCCATATTCCTACGGGTTTTGTTATAGTTAGTAGTTAAATAGCCGGCCATTTTCAAAAATAGCCTTAATAGCTGGATATTTATCCAGATCTTTAACCGGATACTTTTCGGCTATCTATTTACTAACAATACTAGTAGGTTTTGTACACTGTATAGTCCAAATGGCTCGAAAATCTAGGAAGCTATGAAATTTATTTGAAAATAATAATGTTGACATTACCATTGCTTGACACCTTTGACAGTTATGTGACCGTCAAAGTCCCTAAATTAGTGTTGCCGTTGACGTTGGGTTTTCAACCAATCAAATTTCGGTTGTGGCTAGTACTGCCAACTTGAAGGAAAATCTCCTGAAGTAGAGGGAACCATGGTATAATAAGACCATGAGGGGGGGGGGGGGGGGTGAGGACATTTTTCTGGTTACAGTACTTACTCCTTAATTTTCCCTTTATAATACTTTATATTCTTTGAACAAAACGATATTAAAAAAAAAAACATGTTTTTATTTCTTGTAGAGAAATAAGGATTTTGCAGTTAAGCTCTGCCCCCTTAGTTCATGATGAATAAAAAAAAATCATCAGAATTGAGATAGGGTGGGTGGGCGGGGCTTCTATTTTGCCTTTTTTTTCTTAACATACATAGCCATTTTTCACAACAATAAACTTAAAACATGGTTAAAATGATACAATTTTGCAAGTAAATATGGATTATGGGGCGGAGCCTAATTGCAAAATCAATATTTCCTTGTACAAATTTTCCATTTTAAACATGTTTTAAGTTTCATGTTGGGAAAAGAAGTCTACACAATCATATTAAAACAAAAAGGCAAAATATAAGCCCGCCCACCCGCCCTATCTCAATTCTGATGATTTTTTTTATTCGCCGTGTACCAAGGGGGCGGAGCTTAACTGCAAAATACTTATTTCTTCACAAGAAATTATAGACATGTTTTTGAGTATCGTGTTCTTCAAATAATACTATATATTTTAAGAATAAAAGACAAAATATATAACCACGCCCACCCACCCCATCTCAATTGTGATGATTTTTTTATTCTTAAAAACTTAAACTATTTAGATCAGGGCATGTCTGAGTGGCGCTTTAATTTTTTTCTTACGATTTCTAACGATTTTGCAATTAAACTCCGCTCCTTTGGCTCTCGAAGATTAAAAAAAATATATTACAATTGAGATAGGGCGGGTGGGCGGGGCTTATATTTTGCCTTTTTTCTTAGTATACGTAGTCGTCTTTTCAGAACAAGAAACTTGAAACATGATTAAAATGGTAGGTAAATTCTTTAGACAAATATGGATCTTGCAATTAAACCACGCCCCTCGATCTGACAACGAATGAAAAATTCATCACAATTGAGAATTAATTGACTTTATTTTTTTCCTAATATACATAGTATTCTTTGAACAACACGATATTCAATGACATGTTTTTAATTTCTCGTAGAGAAATAAGGATTTGAAGGTAAGCTCCGCCCCCTTGGCTCACGACGAATAAAAAAAATCATCAGATTCGAGACAGGGCGGGTGGGCGGGGATACCTTTTTCCTTTTTTATAAATGACGATTTTCAGCTCTAAAAGCAGCGTCAGCGGGAACTTCAACGTCAACAGCAAGTTTATAAATCCCACTTAAATGTCAAACGGATTACCAAAAACCATGGCCAACTAAGATCTAGCCCTGGCGTCCGCTGCGCTCCATACCTCAAAAATCGTTGGGTAAATAGCGCTATCTACTGTCATTTTCTTTAATCAAACAAATTAAAAGGTCATCTTTTTATCAAAAGGACCGTAGTTTTGATTGATTAAAGGCGATCATTTTGAAAATTTACAGAAAGTATTGGGATAAAATGTTTTGCATGTGGAGTAAAAGCATTCAAAATCAGAAAAACAGACAATTTATATAAAAGCAGCTCAGAAAAACTTTGTGTCAAAAATATATACAAACCGTTCAGGATGTTTTTAGACAAAGGTATATGCAAAGATCCCTAATGAAAAATGAACTTTATCATATTAGGTTAAGTTGTTTTGTAAGGTTAGAAAATCTGACCAAAACTGTAACACTGTTGGTTGCCAGTAATTTTAGACTTTGTATTTTCCAGTCCAGTAAGTAGGATTCAAAGCACTGAAGTAAACGATTATTATTTTAGTATTTAATATGCATTGTCAATATAATCAAATTTAAAATCTCATTTGAATAAGTAATAAGCAATTAAATTTTTTAAATAACAAATTTTTAAAAACTTTAACTTTAAAAAAGTCACAGAAAATATAAAAAAAAAAGAAAAATTTTATGGCTCACTTTTCTCTATAAACATCCTGAACTGTTTATAAAGGTCATAATTTTCGACCTATGATCACTCAACTTACCAAAGTTTGCATATCTTTCAGCAACTGCTGAATTCGCTCTTCTTTCATTCTGACCTCAGTCTGGCAACTGTCGTGATGGATTTTTAGAGAGTCGAGTTGATGCTTAAGATCGGTAAGTTCCTGCTGGTGCAAATACCGTTCCTTACCCTAAAACAAACCAACAGTTTTTCTCCCCAAAATTAAAAAAAAAACTTACACCGAAAACCGTTTCCGTGAACAAATTCGTGTCCATTCTACAACAAGCCGTCATCATATCTTTACCCAAACTGCTAACTTCGCTCTTCAAATTGTTCAAATCTCTCTCCGTGGTTGACTGAATCTCCATAAACAACCGCTTCACCGCAACAACGTCCCTCCACAAATTCAAAAGCCTGTTGTGTTCGCTGCTATAGTAATCATTGAACGCTTGCTCTTCGTCCTTCCATTCGTCTTCCTTGATGATCATCTCCTCTCTTAGTGCCTCCCAATCGTTGGTCAGTTTCTGAAGATCTCCGGTCAGACTCTCGTTGGTGTTGTGCGACTCCTCTAGTTGTTCCCGTAAAGTCATATTCAGCTGCATTAGTTTCTCGTTTCTGTACAATTAAAAATTTCATTTAAAAAACAATACTCATAAAATAAACGCTCCTACTTCCTCTTTTCCTCGTCTAACCGTCTCAAAGCCGTCTCCAGATCCGTTATCCTCTCCTCCCGCATTTCTCGTAGGTGTTGTTGTGCCTGTTCCAGGGCCGTACTTTGCGGTACGCTTGGAACGTGCACTGGTGTTCTGGATGTGGAAGGTTCGGAGTACTTGGAGCTGTCTATCATTTGAGCTTCGAGGTCGGCGCATCGTTGTTTGTATTGTAGGACCTGCGAAAAGTATAGTAGATTTGGGGGGATAGGGGTGGGGGTGGGAGACCTTCGCTTGTAGACGACTGACTAGGGCCGCTTGGTCTTGTTGCGCTTGCCGGTAGGCGTCCAAGCGGCGCCGGTAGATGGAAGCTTCTTCTTGGAGTCGTTGTCGGAGGTCGAGTTGTCGGGAGGAGTCTTCGTCGCTGCTTCCGCCGCCGTCTCCACGTAAGCGACCACCATCTGCCCTGCTTCCACTGGCACTACTCGACTGGAATTGTAGCAAGAAACTCTTAGTGGAATATGCAGGAATTTTGAAAATTTACCTATATTATTTTAATTATTTCTGTGTTTATTTATTTTTGACATGTTAGAATATGAACTGATTATACATATTTTTCTAAGATTATAAACAATAAAAAATTCCCTTAAAGATCTAAGATATATTTTTGTCCACTAAAATTTAATTCTGCCTGTGTTAAAATAATTGTTTCCACTTTTTTTGTTAATTGTAGAAATGCTACAAGAAAAATTTGTAATTCAAAATGTGCCAAGAATCCTCTAATTGCTAGCTTTACATTCCGTTCAAACTGAGTTATTTTTAACATTAAATTTTTTTTTTTCATTTTTAGTTTTTTTTTCACATTTTTTTCACTTAATTTCGCCAAAACGATTTCAGATTCCCAATCTACAAAGTCGCTCTTCTTTCCTCTCAATTAGAGGACTTTTAACTCTTTCAAAAAATCGTTTTTCAAATTTTTGAAAAATATATTCTTACTTTCCTCGTTTATTTAAAAAGATGCCGCAAAAAATATTTCAGATTTGCAACTTGCGAAAAATTCTTCATAGATTAGCTTTTTTTACTCCGTTTTACAAATGATTGAGAAATTTTTGAAAAACTTTTTCTCACTTTCCTCGCTCATTTAAAATTAAATTTACATAAAGACCTTCAAGATTTGTCATGTGCAGATAATTTTCAATCAACTATCCGTTTTTCTATATGAATAGATCCATTTTTAAAGTTTCAGAAAAAATATTTGAAAATTTTTGGAATTTTTTACTCATTGAATTCGCTTAGTTGAAGAGATCTCGCAAAAATGATTTTAGATTCATAGTTTGTTTAGAATTCCCTAAAGATGAACCTTTTTTTTTTCTCTAATAGACACATTTCGAACGATTTTTAAAAAATTTTGGAAATTTTTTTGAATTTTTTTCTTGATTTCTCAGTTACTATTTGAAGGGGTATGGTAAAAAGGACTCCAGATTCGGAATTTGCGAAGTATCATCTATAAACTTGCCTCTCAGGGGCAGTTTTCTTTGACTTTTTTAAAAAACCGTTTTTCAAATATTTGAAAAATACATTCTTACTTTCCTCGTTTATTTAAAAAGATGCCGCAAAAAATATTTCAGATTTGCAACTTGCGAAAAATTCTTCATAGATTAGCTCTTTTTTTCTCCGTTTTACAAATGTTTGAGAAATTTTTGAAAAACTTTTTCTCACGTTCCTCGCTCATTTAAAATTAAATTTACATAAAAACCTTCAAGATTTGTCATGTGCAGATAATTTTCAATAAACTATCCGTTTTTCTATATGAATAGATCCATTTTTAAAGTTTCAGAAAAAATATTTGAAAATTTTTGGAATTTTTTACTCATTCAATCCGCTTAGTTGAAGAGATCTCGCAAAAATGATTTTAGATTCATAGTTTGTTTAGAATTCCCTATAGATGAACCTTTTTTTTTTTTCTCTAATAGACACATTTCGAACGATTTTTAAAAATTTTTGGAAATTTTTTGAATTTTTTTCTTGATTTCTCAGTTACTATTTGAAGGGGTATGCTAAAAAGGACTCCAGATTCGGAATTTGCGAAGTATCATCTATAAACTTGCCTCTCAGGGGCAGTTTTCTTTAACTTTTTTAAAAAACCGTTTTTCCAATATTTGAAAAATACATTCTTGCTTTCCTCGTTTATTTAAAAAGATGCCGCAAAAAATATTTCAGATTTGCAACTTGCGAAAAATTCTTCATAGATTAGCTCTTTTTTTACTCCGTTTTACAAATGTTTGAGAAATTTTTGAAAAACTTTTTCTCACGTTCCTCGCTCATTTAAAATTAAATTTACATAAAGACCTTTAAGATTTGTCATGTGCAGATAATTTTCAATAAACTATCCGTTTTTCTATATGAATAGGTCCATTTTTAAAGTTTCAGAAAAAATATTTGAAAATTTTTGGAAGTTTTTTACTCATTCAATTCGCTTAGTTGAAGAGATCTCGCAAAAATGATTTTAGATTCATAGTTTGTTTAGAATTCCCTATAGATGAACCTTTATTTTCTCTAATAGACACATTTCGAACGATTTTTAAAAAATTTTGGAAATTTTTTGAATTTTTTTCTCGATTTCTCAGTTACTATTTGAAGGGGTATGGTAAAAAGGACTCCAGATTCGGAATTTGCGAAGTATCATCTATAAACTTGCCTCTCAGGGGCAGTTTCCTTTGACTTTTTTAAAAAACCGCTTTTCAAATATTTGAAAAATACATTCTTACTTTCCTCGTTTATTTAAAAAGATGCCGCAAAAAATATTTCAGTTTTGCAACTTGCGAAAAATTCTTCATAGATTAGCTCTTTTTTTACTCCGTTTTACAAATGTTTGAGAAATTTTTGAAAAACTTTTTCTCACGTTCCTCGCTCATTTAAAATTAAATTTACGTAAAGACCTTTAAGATTTGTCATGTGCAAATAATTTTCAATAAACTATCCGTTTTTCTATATGAATAGATCCATTTTTAAAGTTTCAGAAAAAATATTTGAAAATTTTTGGAAGTTTTTTACTCATTCAATTCGCTTAGTTGAAGAGATCTCGCAAAAGTGATTTTAGATTCATAGTTTAGAATTCCCCGTAGATGAACCTTTTTTTTTTTTCTCTCTAATAGACACATTTTGAACGATTTTTAAAAAATTTTGGAAATTTTTTAAATTTTTTCTCGATTTCTCAATTACTATTTGAAGGGGTAAGGTAAAAAGGGCTCCAGATTCGGAATTTGCGAAGTATCATCTACAAACTTGTCTCCCAGGGGCAGTTTTCTTTAACTTCTTTAAAAAAGCGTTTTTCAAATATTTGAAAAATATATTCTTACTTTCCTCGCTTATTTAAAAATACTGGAAAAAAAAAATTGAGATTCGTACTCTGCCGATGATTCACTAAAAGTTACCAAATTTTCCGTTTGAATACAGCCACGTTTAAAAGAAATAGAAATCTTTGAGACATTTTCAATTTTTTAATAGTCTCAAAAAAATTGTTGAGACATTTTTTGGAAAAAAATTTTCTGGCTTATTTAAAGAGGTATTTTATAAAGGACTTCATATTTATAATCATCGGATCATTTTCGATAAACAATCGATTTTTCTGTAAAGTTTCCAAAAAAAATTTTTGGAAGATTTTTTATAGTTTTATTAGCTTAGTTGAAACGATCTGACAAAAAGAATTTCAGATTCATTTTCAGTGTAGAATTTTTCATAGATTAGGTCTTTTTTCTCTAATAGAGCTATTAGGAGCAGTTCGAAAAAAAATTTCGGAATTTGTTAATTTTCTTTTCTCGATTTCTCGGTAATTTGAAGAGATATCGCCCAAAGGATTTCAAATTCGTAATCTACGAAGTATCTTCTACAAACTCGCACTTCTTTCCTCTCAATTAGAGGCACTTTTAACCCTTTGAAAAAACCGTTTTTCAATTTTTTTTTAAATATGTTCTTACTTTCCTCGCTTATTTACAAAGATGCTGCAAAAAATATTTCAAAATTTGTAACTTGCGGAAAATTCTTCGTAGATTTGCTCTTTTTGCACTCCGCTGGAGTGAATATTTTAAAAAAATTTTTGAGAAATTTTTGAAAAACTGTTTCTAACTTTCCTCGCTTATTTAAAATTAAATTTACATAAAGAGCTTCAAAATTTTTAATCTGCGAATAATTCTCCATAAACTATCCGTTTTTCTGTATGAATAGATCCACTTTTAAAGTCTCCGAAAAAAATGTTCGAAAATTTTTTGAAATGTTTTACTCATTTTTTCGTTTGGTTGAAGAGATCTCGTAAAAAGGATTTTAGATTGATAATTTGTTTAGAATTATCTATAGATTAACCTTTTTTTCTCTAATAGGGCCATTTTGGACGATCTTTTAAAAATTCTGGAAAATTTTTGAATTTTTTTCTCAATTTCTCAGTTATTTCGAAGGATATCGTACAAATGATGTCAGATTCGGAATTTATGAAGTATCATCCACCAAATCGCACTTCTTTCCTCATTTCAACCCTTTCAAAAAACCGTTTTTTAAATTGATTTGAAAATATGTTCTTACTTTTTCGCTTATTTAAAGTGATACCGCAAAAAATATTTCAGGTTCATAATCTGCGGATGCTTCTGTAAACGCTACTAAATTTTCCGTTTAAAAAAATAATAATTGTTGAAAAATTGTCAGCGGTATTTTTTGTTAGTTGAAGAGATATCGCAAAAAGCATTTCGGATTTGCAACCTGCGGAAAATTGTTGATAGATTAGCTCTTTTTTCAGTCCACTAGAGCCACCTTCAATATTTTCAAAAAATTTTTGAAAAACTTTTTCTCACTTTCCTTGCTCATTTAAAATTAAATTTACATAAATAGCTGCAAGATTTCTAATGTGCGGATAATTCTCGACAAACTATCGGTTTTTCTGTATGAAAAAATCCACTTTTAAAGTTTCCGAAAAAAATTTTTGAAAATTTTTGGAAATGTTTTACTCATTTCTTTCGTTTGGTTGAAGAGATCTCGCAAAAAGGATTTTAGATTGATAATTTGTTTAGAATTCTCTATAGATTATTCATTAACCTTTTTTTTTTCTCTAATAGAGCCATTTTGAACAATCTTTTAAAAATTTTGGAAAATTTTGGAATTTTTTTCTCAATCTCTCAGTTGTTTCGAAGGATATCGTACAAATGATGTCAGATTCGGAATTTAGAAGTATCATCCACAAAATCGCACTTCTTTCCTCATTTTAACCCTTTCAAAAAACCGTTTTTTAAATTGAATTTGAAAACTATGTTTTTACTTTTTCGCTTATTTAAAGTAATACCGAAAAAATATTTCAGGTTCATAATCTGTGGATGCTTCTGTAAAAGCTAGTAAATTTTCCGTTTGAACAGTCACGTTAAAAAAAAAATTCAAAAATTATCAAGGGTATTTTTTGGTTAGTCGAAGAGCTATCGCAAAAAGCAACTCAGATTTTTAACTTGCAGAAAATTCTTAGTAGATTAATTTTTTCACTCCGCCACAGTCACCTGTAATATTTTCAAAAAAAATTTGGAGAAACGTTTGAAAAACTTGTTCTCACTTTCTGCGCTTATTTAAAATTAAATTTACATAAAGGGCTTCAAAATTTGTAATCTGCGTTTTTCTGTTTGAATAAATCCACTTCTAAAGTTTCCAAAAAAATTTTTGAAGATTTTTGGAAATTTTTTCTCGTTTTATTCGTTTAGATGAAGAGATCTCGCACAAAGGGTTTCAAATTCGTTATCTGTTTAGAATGCTCTATAGATTAGCTCTTGGTAATATGCGGACGATTCTCTAAGAGCTAGGAAATTTTCCTAAATTTTTTGAATAGAGCCACCTTAAAAAACATTGAAATTTTTGGAAAATTTTCACCAGCATTTGTGCGATTAGTTGAAAAGATATCGCAAAGAACATTCAAGATTTGTAACCTATGGAAAATTTTTGCTAGGTTAACCCTTTTTTCCGCTTCGCTAGAGCCACCTTCAATATTTTCAAAAAAAATTTTGAGTAATTTTTGAGGAACTTTTTCTCACTTTCCTCGCTCATTTAAAATTAAATTTACATAAAGGCCTTCAAAATTTGTAATCTGCGTTTTTCTGTTTGAATAAATCCACTTTTAAAGTTTCCAAAAAAATTTTTTGAAAATTATTGGAACTTTTTTCTCGTTTTATTCGTTTAGGTGAAGAGATCTCGCACAAAGAGTTTCAAATTCGTAATCTGTTTAGAATGATCTATACCTTTTCGTAATATTCGGATGATTCCCTGAGAGCCAGGAAATTTTCCTAATTTTTTTTAATAGAGCCACGTTTAAAAAAATTGAAATTTTTTGAAAATTTTCACCAGCATTTGTGCGACTAGTTGAAAAGATATCGCAAAGAACATTGAAGATTTGTAACCTATGGAAAATGTTTGCTAGGTTAACTCTTTTTTCCGCTTCGCTAGAGCCACCTTCAATATTTTCAAAAAAAATTTCGAGAAATTTTTGAAAAACTTGTTCTCACTTTCCTCGCTCATTTGAAATTAAATTTACATAAGGGGCTTCAAAATTTGTAGTCTGCTTTTTTCTGTTTGAATAAATTCGCTTCTAAAGTTTCCAAAAAAATTTTTGAAAATTTTTGGAAGTTTTTCTCGTTTTATTCGTTTAGTTGAAGAGATCTCGATCAAAGAATTTCCGATTCGCAATCTGTTTAGAATGCTCTATAAATTAGCTCTTTTTTCTTTTCTAAGAATACAGCCAGCCATTTTAAATGGTTTAAAAAATAGGTTTTTTTATTTTGTTCTCGTTTTCTCGGTTATTTGAAGAAGTATCGCAAAAACGATTTCAGATTCGTAATCTGCGAAATATGATCTACAAAACCGCATTTCTTTCCTTTCAATTAGATGTAACTCTTTCAAAAAAACATTTTTGAAAAATATCTTCTCACTTTCCTTGCTTATTTAAAATGATGTCGCAAAAAATATCAGATTCGTAATATGCGGATGATTCTCTAAGAGCTAGGAAAGTTTCCCAAATTTTTTTAATAGAGCCATATTTAAAAAAAATAAAATTTTTGGAAAATTTTCACCAGCATTTGTGCGGTTAGTTGAAAAGATTTGTAACCTGTAGAAAATTTTTGCTAGGTTAGCTTTTTCCTCTTCGCTAGTGCCACCTTCATATTTTCAAAAAAAAAAAAAATAAAATTAGAAATTTTTGAAAAATATGTTCATGATTTCCTCGCTTATTTGACGAGATATTACAGAACGGATTTCAGATTTATAATTCTCCATACGTTTTTCTGTTTAACTACTTCCACTTTGCTTTTAAGTTTCCAAAGAAAACTTTTGGAAGTTTTTTACTCATCTCATTCACTTAGTATAAGAGATCGCAAAAAAATTTCAGATTCATAGTTTGTTTAGAATGCTCTATAAATTAGCTCTCTTTTTCTGTAATAGGACCATTTTAAACGTTTTTAAAAAATTTGGAAATTTTTGAAAAATATTTTCCTCACTTATTTAAAGAGACACCACACAAAGGATTTCAGATTTGTAATTTGCGGATAATTCTCGATAAATTATCAATTTTTTTCTCTTTGAATAAATCCACTTTTAAGTTTCAAAAAAAAAAAAAAAAATAGTTTGAACGTTGTCAACAAAATTTTTTGGATGTTTTTTAGTTTTTTCTCCTATCATAGACTTAATTTAAATATTAAATTAATAAAAATTTTTGGAAACGAGTTTCTCGAATATTTGCAGAGGTATCTTAAAAAATATTCCAGAATCGTAGTCTGCCGATAATTCATAAGCAATGTTTTCCTTCAAATGGAGCCATTTTAAAAAACATGTAAATTTTTATCTTTTTGAAGGTTCTAACCAATAAGGTTTAACGTGTAAAAAAAAACAGCTGAAAATGACAAAAATTTACATCATTTTCGTTTAGTGGATGTACCCTGAATGCAAATAATAGGGGATTCATTTTCACTCAAAACATACAAAAAAATCATAAATTACTAAATTTAACGAGAAAGAATAACATCAACTAAAAGTCCGTTTTGTCTACCTCTTATCAGATTCGCACATTGCATAAAATTCAATTCATTGCATAATGGCACAACACAACGTCTATTTTCGAGTCATGAAGTTTATTAGCTCATCCTGGACTTTGAAACGTTTTCCGAGAAATCATTATCCAATTACAACTAAAGTGATAAAGATAATGCGTATATTTTTGTTAAATCCTCAAACGCCAACAATAGAACACTTGTTGCACTGATAACAATAAAAACACAATGACCATTTCCTGGAAAACGATACTCACTTCAGTCCGAGACTTCGGTCTGTAAGCTGGCGGTCTCCTGCGATCCCCCAAATTCATTTTCGGCGGATCGATTTTCTTCACGGGTGGCTGTAACAAACAAAATCCTTACGTTTCGTTCTTCGAATTAGTCACTCTGATCTTTGAAACCATAAAGATACCAATCGGCTTAATTACGATAATCGCAATTTGCAATTACACCAACAATAAACATAAACAGTCGCTAATAACACGAAAACGGGCTAAATCCGGAGTCAAGGGGCAAATTCTTGAACTATTTTTTTCTGTGTCGAAATTTTCGAAAATTTTGAGTTTAGTAGGGGTCGTTAACCCGCGCGATTACACATGATGCGTGTGAGAGACAGAAAGCAAGGGTTTTCAGTACCTGGCGGAGTCATTTGCGTGTTATCAGAGCTCGTGGACTCCCAGGGAAAAGACGTTTCTGGAATTTACAATTTTATGCGTTTTACTTGAGCGAAATGGGTGAACTCTGGAAAAACTCATTACTTAACTTTAATTACTTAAGGTGATAATCGATATTTGCAAGGGGACAAAACAATGGCGGTGATTGCTATCGACTAACGCTTCCGCTTTTCTGAAACGAAATGGCAAAAAATCGTGTTGTTTTCTTGAACTAATTAAAAAAATAATATTTTTAGATTTTGAACGCTTAACCGAAATTATGTAAGTAATCTTCAGAAATACACAAATAAATGGACTTTTTCCTCTTAATTAAAATACCGATAAGCCCGATAATAATTTTAAAATTAGTTTGGCAATTCGATCGATTTATTGTTTCCGTACGGATTTGTGTTGACCCAATTAACGCTAGTTTTTGGACCTAATCGACATTGGAACTTGGTTGTCATCTTAATTAATAGCATCTTTTTACTGGCTATCGCTCGTAATTTAATCGTAAATCATTTTGTTGCCTCAGAAAACGCTCACGTGCAATTCGAATTCCGAATTCTTGATTGTGGTATTTTTAAAATAGTTTTCGTAAATATGTTTATACAACTAATTTTCGAGCGATACCAAAAAGTAAACAAATTAAAGACATAACAAAAACCTTAAACAAAACTCTCATTATCTACCTTCAGCTCAAAACCAAAATAAATATGCACCTTCCTGTTATCAAGCGTTCAATGTAACAAGTGAGTCATTGTTTTTATGCAAAGATTGACAAGAAGTGACATAAAATAAAAACAAAACCTTATGTTTCAAGTACGAAATTTCTTTTTGTGTGCCCTTTGTGTCCTCTATTTATAGTCCTTCATTTCTCTATTAACCAATTTCATCCTACATTATTTTTTTATTGTAGATGCATGCGTTCAGAACTTTTGCGATAAAAAATGTTTAATTGTAATTTTGGTTGCATAAACTTCTTTTTTAAAGGTTGCAAAAAGTGAAAAAATTATGTGCCACAAGTCCAGAAAGTAACTTTTACAGACTCATCTGGAGCTTACCAGGTAATCTCCACGCTGGCTCGTAAAAGGAAACTCTGGACAGACTTTCCGAGTTAAATTGTTTGAGCTGAAAGAAAAATTCGTGCGCAAAAATACCAAGAATACTGTTTTACAGGTTGTAGTGTCCTGGTTTGAATTAAAATTAGGGTAGACGGATGTTTTAATTGAGTATTATCCTATAACACACACCTTAACTTCTCTCTGGAGATTGCTAATAGTTTATTTCTGGTATTTAAACAAATTTTAAACCTTGATCCATTTTGAAACAACAACCTTGAAATTTCCATCAGTCAAATTAATAGCCCGTCGACTCTCGAAAAACGGGAGGCTTTTTTTTTACGAGTTCAGTAGTATGTTTAAAGTCTAATTAGTTTTTTGTAGGTTTAGTAACATTTTGCGGCTTGAATTCGAACATTTATTCTCTAGAGCGTAGCGTTTCTGGGACCAACTTATTGTGATTTTGATCGTGTTGAATACGTGTTTTTGTTCATTTGTATGTGATATGGGGGTTTCGGTCCACGAGTTAATCGCATTTTGATTTAACTAATAACTTGAAAAAACACATAATTTTAACACTGTGTAATTTTTTTGTTATTTGAAGCTGTTTATACAGTGTGGCTTAATTTAACATCATGTAAATGATTGAATGTCTTTATAGAGTATGGCGTAATTTGGCATTTAAACTAATCTTAAACATTGATCCATTTTGAAAGACAGGACTTTGAAATTTTCATCAGTCAAATTAATATCCCGTGGACTCTCGAAAAACGAGAGGCTTTTTTCTTACAAATTCAGTAATTTGTTTCAAGTCTAATTATTCTCTTGTAGATTTAATCACACTTTTCCGGCTTGAATTCGAACATTTATTCTCTAGAGCGTAGCGTTTCTGGGACCAACTTATTGTGATTTTGATCGTGTTGAATACGTGTTTTTGTTGATTTGTATGTGATATGGGGGTTTCGGTACACGAGTTAATCGCATTTTGATTTAACTAATAACTTGAAAAAACACATGATTTTAATATTATGTAACTTTTTTGTTATTTGAAGCTGTTTATACAGTGCGGCTTAATCTAACATCATGTAAATGATTGAAAGTCTTTAATTGAGTATGGCGTAATTTGGCATTTAAACTAATCTTAAACATTGATCCATTTTAAAAGACAGAACTTTGAAATTTTCATCAGTCAAATTAATATCCTGTGGACTCTCGAAAAACGGGAGGCTTTTTTCTTACAAATTCAGCAATTTGTTTCAAGTCTAATTATTCTCTTATAGGTTTAATCACACTTTTCCGGCTTGAATTCGAACATTTATTCTCTAGAGCGCTGCGTTTCTGCGACCAACTTATTGTGATTTTGATCGTGTTGACTACGTGTTTTTGTTTATTTGTATGTGATATGGGGGTTTCGGTCCACGATTTAATCGCATTTTGATTTAACTAATAACTTGAAAAAACACATGATTTTAACACTGTAATTTTTTTGTTATTTGAAGCTGTTTATACAGTGTGGCTTAATTTAACATCATGTAAATGATTGAAAGTCTTTATAGAGTATGGCGTAATTTGGCATTTAAGCTAATCTTAAACATTGATCCATTTTGAAAGACAGAACTTTGAAATTTTCATCAGTCAAATTAATATCCCGTGGACTCTCGAAAAACGGGAAGCTTTTTTCTTACAAATTCAGTAATTTGTTTCAAGTCTAATTATTCTCTTGTAGGTTTAATCACACTTTTCCGGCTTGAATTCGAACATTTATTCTCTAGAGCGCAGCGTTTCTGGGACCAACTTATTGTGATTTTGATCGTGTTAAATACGTGTTTTTGTTCATTTGTATGTGATATGGGGGTTTCGGTCCACGAGTTAATCGCATTTTGATTTAACAAATAACTTGAAAAAACACATGATTTTAACATTGTGTAACTTTTTTGTTATTTGAAGCTGTGTATACAGTGTGGCTTAATTTAGCATCATGTAAATGATTGAATGTCTTTATAGAGTGTGGCGTAATTTGGCTTTTAAACTAATTTTAAACATTGATCCATTTTGAAAGACAGAACTTTGAAATTTTCATCAGTCAAATTAATATCCCGTGGACTCTCGAAAAACGGGAGGCTTTTTTCTTACAAATTCAGTAATTTGTTTCAAGTCTAATTATTCTCTTGTAGATTTAATCACACTTTTCCGGCTTGAATTCGAACATTTATTCTCTAGAGCGCAGCGCTTTTGGGACCAACTTATTGTGATTTTGCTCGTGTTGAATACGTGTTTTTGTTCATTTGTATGTGATATGGGGGTTTCGGTCCACGAGTTGATCGCATTTTGATTTAACTAATAACTTGAAAAAACACATGTTTTTAACATTGTGTAACTTTTTTGTTATTTGAAGCTGTTTATACAGTGTGGCTTAACTTACCATCATGTAAATGATTGAAAGTCTTTATAGAGTATGGCGTAATTTGGCATTTAAACTAATCTTAAACATTGATCCATTTTGAAAGACAGAACTTTGAAATTTTCATCAGTCAAATTAATATCCCGTGGACTCTCGAAAAACGGGAGGTTTTTTTCTTACAAATTCAGTAATTTGTTTCAAGTCTAATTATTCTCTTGTAGGTTTAATCACACTTTTCCGGCTTGAATTCGAACATTTATTCTCTAGAGCGCAGCGTTTCTGGGACCAACTTATTGTGATTTTGATCGTGTTGAATACGTGTTTTTGTTCATTTGTATGTGATATGGGGGTTTCGGTCCACGAGTTAATCGCATTTTGATTTAACTAATAACTTGAAAAAACATATGATTTTAACATTGAGTAACTTTTTTGTTATTTGAAGTTGTTTATACAGTGTGGCTTAATTTAACATCATGTAAATGATTGAAAGTCTTTATAGAGTATGGCGTAATTTGGCATTTAAACTAATCTTAAACATTGATCCATTTTGAAAGACAGAACTTTGAAATTTTCATCAGTCAACTTAATACCTCGTGGACTCTCGAAAAACGGGAAGCTTTTTTCTTACAAATTCAGTAGTTTGTTTCAAGTCTAGTTAGTCTCTGGTAGGTTTAATAACATTTTTACGGCTTGAATTCGAACATTTATTCTCTTGAGCGCAGCGTTTCTGAGACAAGCTTATTGTGATTTTGATCGTGTCTAATGTGTGTTTTTATTTATTTGTATGTGATATGGAGGTTTCGGTCCACGAGATAATAGCATTTTGATTTAACTAATAACTTGAAATAACAGATGATTTTATCATTGTGTCACTTTTTGCTGTTCGAGGCGTTTGATAGAGTGTGACTTAATTTAACATCATGTAAATGATTCAAATTCTTGATAGAGTATGGCGTAATTTGGCATTTAAACTAATCTTAAACATGGATCCATTTTGAAAGACAAGACTTTGAAATTTTCATCAGTCAAATTAATACCCCTTCGGCTCTCGAAAAACGGGAGGCTTTTTTCTTACGAGTTCAGTAGTTTGTTTCAAGTTTAGTTAGTCTCTGGTAGGTTTAATAACATTTTTACGGCTTGAATTCGAACATTTATTCTCTTGAGCGCAGCGTTTCTGAGACAAGCTTATTGTGATTTTGATCGTGTCTAATGTGTGTTTTTATTTA